ATTATATAATATTAATAGTAATAATAAATTATTATTAAAAATCTTATACGTCATATATTTATATCACAAGTAAGGAAATTATAATAACTAAGACATACTTCTGCTTTCATCTTATGATTTATTTACTTATAATGAATTTATCAATGGTAATAAAGATCTTGAATTTCTTGATTAACTAGAGGTAAGTTTAAAAGTTACTGTATGTTAACTTTTATTATCATAGAAGTTACAAAATGATGTATGATGTTATTTTGTATGTGATTTAAGAAAACTTTTTGGTTATTTTAATTTTTACAGTGAAGCCTTCTTATTTCTTTTTTTCAATAAATTGCGTTTCTTAGGATTAGATTGCGATAGTTTTAGTAATCATGAGTTATCAATTTTGATTGATGATTTTAATGAATATCATTGTTATCATCTATGTGACATAGAGAAGAACATTAAATTAAGTTTAATTGATAAATTTCTTCATTGTGCTTTGATTTTTTTGATTATTGGACTAGAAATTTATAATAAATTAACTTTTATAAAAGTCTTCCTCAAAAGTATCCAAATTTTATGATAAATTTTAAATACTTGGTACTAAAATCTACTTATTTGGACAATTCAATCTAGAATATCCATTTATTTTAATAATTTTGGCACTTTAATTTTGTTATTTATTTATACAAATATTCCCCAATAAATTAATTAATACAATCTTTTATAATTAAGAGTTAATTTACTTTATAAATATAATATATATTTCCATAAATTAAAACATAATATAATAATAATAAATTTATTAATAATTCAAAATAATAGTTATCTTAAAGAAAATAACTTATTTCTGTTAAATATCAATATATATGAATTATTTTTAATTATTACTAATATTTAATTCTTAAATTTTTCTATATTAGTATCAATATATCTTTACTTTACTTTAATTAATAAATAATAAGATATTCCTCCAGTATCACCTAAAAATAAACAATAATAAAATTAATCATAATAAGTTTATAAATAATAATAAGAATAAAATATTAATGAATCACATTTAACTAATTTAACATAATAAAATCCTGTATTTGTTCTATAACTTCCTATTAATTAAGTTTTCTAATAATAATTAGATAAAGGTACTAAAAATCAAGTCATTAACATGGAGAACTATTTTAATTTAATTCATAATTAGGTGATAGTTAAGACATACCATAAACGAAAAAGATGTCTATAAAATCTGAACATATTAAAAAATAATCAAGATTAAATAATTCTAATACAAATAATATTAGTAACATTTTAGATAACCTTTTAAGTCACAAGTAAAAAGTAAATGATTAATAAGGTCTTTATTAATCAGAATTATTTGAAGTATCATAATTATAATATTTTGGTGGAGGTTAAAATAAATAATCTGTAATTTAATAATCACTTTTATAATCAATTCATAATGAAACAATGGAGATAGTTAAAGATTAAACATAATAATGTCATTTTGAAGATATTTATTAAAATGCAAGAAAAGATTTTTCATTATAAAAATCTCTTGTTAATGATAAAAATGAAGAAGACTTAGATAATTTATTATATGATTTATATTAATGTACAATAAAATAATTACCAAAATAATTATGAAAATAATGAATAATGTTTTTCAAAATCATCCTTAAGAAGAATAAATATAAAATAATAACCCTGTATCTTATCTAACAGGAGGTAATATAATTAGTGAATAAAAAAATGATAATTAAAGTCCTATTTAAAAGAATAAATTATAAGATGAATTAATATTGAAGATTATTTTATGCTAAATTATTATGAGAAGAAATAGATAAGAAAGATTTTTAACCTGAAGAATTTGATTAAAATGGAAAAGATAGAATATAGTTTAGATTTTGAAGATGTTATAGCAAGAAGAATCAAAACTAAATTTTAATATATTGATGTTCAAAAATAAGATTTTAGTTTAACAAACGATGATTTATTATATGCAGATGATAAATTATTAAATTAATATATTTCAATAAAAAAATTGGAACCTTATAGAGATGGTTCGATTAAAATTAAAAAAAATAATTCTAATAAATTATTAGCTTAAATTAGAAAGTAGAAGGTGCAGTAGAAAATACAACACTCTAAGTAAATTCTAAAAGACTTAAAACTTATGGAGTTTGATTTTTGCATATTATTGTTGTTAATAGTATTTATTATTATTTTCTTATTTTTTAATTATATATATATATGGCTCATCATAAATATAGAATGATTTATCAATTA